GATAGTCCATCAAAAATATATTTTAAAAAATCCAATCAAAAATATATTTAAAAAAAATCCACGTTTATGGATAGTCCATCAAAAATATATTTTAAAAAATCCAATCAAAAATATATTTAAAAAAATCCACGTTTATGGATAGTCCATCAAAAATATATTTAAAAAAATCCAATCAAAAATATATTTTAAAAAATCCACGTTTATGGATAGTGCATCAAAAATATATTTTAAAAAATCCAATCAAAAATATATTTAAAAAAATCCACGTTTATGGATAGTGCATCAAAAATATATTTTAAAAAATCCAATCAAAAATATATTTAAAAAAATCCACGTTTATGGATAGTCCATCAAAAATATATTTTAAAAAATCCAATCAAAAATATATTTAAAAAAAAATCCACGTTTATGGATAGTCCATCAAAAATATATTTTAAAAAATCCATTAAAAAATATATTTAAAAAAATCCACGTTTATGGATAGTGCATCAAAAATATATTTTAAAAAATCCAATCAAAAATATATTTAAAAAAATCCACGTTTATGGATAGTCCATCAAAAATATATTTTAAAAAATCCAATCAAAAATATATTTAAAAAAAATCCACGTTTATGGATAGTCCATCAAAAATATATTTTAAAAAATCCAATCAAAAATATATTTAAAAAAATCCACGTTTATGGATAGTGCATCAAAAATATATTTTAAAAAATCCAATCAAAAATATATTTAAAAAAATCCACGTTTATGGATAGTGCATCAAAAATATATTTTAAAAAATCCAATCAAAAATATATTTAAAAAAATCCACGTTTATGGATAGTGCATCAAAAATATATTTTAAAAAATCCAATCAAAAATATATTTAAAAAAATCCACGTTTATGGATAGTGCATCAAAAATATATTTTAAAAAATCCAATCAAAAATATATTTAAAAAAATCCACGTTTATGGATAGTGCATCAAAAATATATTTTAAAAAATCCAATCAAAAATATATTTAAAAAAATCCACGTTTATGAATAGTCCATCAAAAATATATTTTAAAAAATCCAATCAAAAATATATTTAAAAAAATCCACGTTTATGGATAGTCCATCAAAAATATATTTTAAAAAATCCAATCAAAAATATATTTAAAAAAATCCACGTTTATGGATAGTCCATCAAAAATATATTTTTTTAAAAATCCACGTTTATGGGTAGTCCATCAAAAATATATTTTAAAAAATCCAATCAAAAATATATTTAAAAAAATCCACGTTTATGGATAGTGCATCAAAAATATATTTTAAAAAATCCAATCAAAAATATATTTAAAAAAATCCACGTTTATGGATAGTGCATCAAAAATATATTTTAAAAAATCCAATCAAAAATATATTTAAAAAAATCCACGTTTATGGGTAGTCCATCAAAAATATATTTTAAAAAATCCAATCAAAAATATATTTAAAAAAATCCACGTTTATGGATAGTGCATCAAAAATATATTTTAAAAAATCCAATCAAAAATATATTTAAAAAAATCCACGTTTATGGATAGTGCATCAAAAATATATTTTAAAAAATCCAATCAAAAATATATTTAAAAAAATCCACGTTTATGGATAGTGCATCAAAAATATATTTTAAAAAATCCAATCAAAAATATATTTAAAAAAATCCACGTTTATGGATAGTGCATCAAAAATATATTTTAAAAAATCCAATCAAAAATATATTTAAAAAAATCCACGTTTATGGATAGTGCATCAAAAATATATTTTAAAAAATCCAATCAAAAATATATTTAAAAAAATCCACGTTTATGGATAGTCCATCAAAAATATATTTTAAAAAATCCAATCAAAAATATATTTAAAAAAATCCACGTTTATAGATAGTCCATCAAAAATATATTTTAAAAAATCCAATCAAAAATATATTTAAAAAAATCCACGTTTATGGATAGTCCATCAAAAATATATTTAAAAAAATCCACGTTTATGGATAGTGCATCAAAAATATATTTTAAAAAATCCAATCAAAAATATATTTAAAAAAATCCACGTTTATGGATAGTGCATCAAAAATATATTTTAAAAAATCCAATCAAAAATATATTTAAAAAAATCCACGTTTATGGATAGTGCATCAAAAATATATTTTAAAAAATCCAATCAAAAATATATTTAAACAAGTAAGCAAAGGCTACAGTCGAGCGGGGCCGACCGTTGAATACCCTACAACACTATAATAAACGATACAGTTTATATAGGCAAGATACTCGAAAGAATTCCACAAGATATTGTGACAAATAATAAAAGAAAACCATCAGGTTTCGTTCTCTAATTTTCGAATAATAGCAACCTTCACTAATTTTCTCATTTCCAATTTATTGGTAGATGTTGCACTTAAATGGTCTTCCTAGATCTGGAACCAATATTTCCCAAAGACCTATAATCTGTCAGAAGTGGCAAAAGATTAACATTTATTATTGGTTTTTGACTAAAACGCATCTATATGAGATACAGTCATTTGACTATATTCTTCAACGAAATCAGCGTTAATGAAATAGTCAGAAGTGCGTCTTTCCTGTATTTGTGAATTCTCCAAAAAGTCACTGGAATGGACATTTTCGTATTTTGTCTACAAAAGTTGGCAAACTCCTTCACACATTGAATATTTTTGGATGACCATCCAAAACTGCTTGGCTTTTGCAATGTCCGGTAATCCCCATTCCAATGTGCGTGAGGATCGGGTGATAATTACGACCTTCTGACAATTTTGCAGTTTTTTTGGTCCATTTCAACCCCTAAATATATGGCGATCATCTCCAAAAAGAATAGGCTTCTATTCTGACCCTCATCTTATCCCCATGCAAAATTTCGTAAGGATCGGGCCATAAATGCGATCTGTATATGATATCCTGATATCCTAACTACTTAGTTTTGTTAGCTGTAGAAATATTACCAAATGTTTAATTCAAAATGAAAATATGCCAAAAATATGACAAAATGGAAAAAATATGAGAAAATTTTACAAAATCAATATTTTCATCTTTAGAGAGATATTTGTATGCGTTTTTTAGACGTTTTTCCTTTACTGCCAAGAGGCCATTCTGAATTAATGAGAACTGTCGAAATCAGTTCAGCCGTTCTCGACATATAAGAGATCTTTCAAGCATATCTTCTTTGACAGACATATATATCGCATATATTTGCTATATATTAGATTTTTTGGATCTTAACATCAATGTAAAGATCAGAAGTAACCTTGTCATGGCTTTGTGAGTTCCCCGGGATATAAAATATTCGCAGTTTAATGAAAATTTTTAAAATTTTTCAACAAAAATGATATGGTCTATTTTACCCGCTAAATATTATCCGATGACCACCCAAATTGGTAAGCTTCTTCCCCGCCCTAAACTCTAGCTACATGCGAAATTCCGCGTCGATTGGTCTATAATTGCGACCTGTATAGCTACTGCAAAATCCGACATTTTTTCAGTATTTGGTCCATTTCAACCCCTAAACATTTGGCGATCATCTCCAAAAGAAATAGGCTTCTATTCTGACCCTAGCCCCACCTCCATTCTAAATTTCGTGAAGATCGGGCCATAATTGCGACCTGTAGAGTGATTACAAATTAACATGGACAGACGGACAGACGGACAGACGGACAGACGGACGGACGGACATACATAGCTAGATCGACTCAGCTCGACGAGCTAGGAAGATCCATATATACTTTCCTATGTGGGAAATCAATATTTCGTGGTGTTACATAATTTTTGGCCCAATCAAACTTATAATACCCCCAACACATAGTGTTGTAGGGTATAAAAAATCCACGTTTATGGATAGTGCATCAAAAATAAATTTTAAAAAATCCAATCAAAAATATATTTAAAAAAATCCACGTTTATGGATAGTCCATCAAAAATATATTTAAAAAAATCCAATCAAAAATATATTTAAAAAAATCCACGTTTATGGATAGTCCATCAAAAATATATTTTAAAAAATCCACGTTTATGGATAGTCCATCAAAAATATATTTTAAAAAATCCACGTTTATGGATAGTCCATCAAAAATATATTTTAAAAAATCCACGTTTATGGATAGTCCATCAAAAATATATTTTAAAAAATCCGCGTTTATGGATAGTGCTGTAGCTCATCAAACTAATTCTTTAAAAAAATCCGCGTATGGGTCCAATAGTTCATCAAAAAAAAAAAATCAGGGTTATGGATCCTTTTCATTTTGGTCGCCTTTGATTATCCGGCAACTCCGGCCAACATAAAATATAAGTGGCCATCTATAAAATATTTCAATCTTTTCCTGTACAATTTTCAAGTTGAAGTTAAGGTTGTTGTCTTGATCATAGTTGGTAGTTAGTAGCAACGACCAAGTCTTGTTTGCTGTTGATGTTGGTGGGTTTGTGTGTTCGTTCGACTGTCGCAGTGGCAATTAATAATGTTAAGCATGTTTAAGAAGTCTGCTCATGATGCCATAAAAAATCCCATATAAAAATAGATTTTCCACTTGTTTTCTTCTTTTTTTTTGTGGTTGGATCGATGGATGGTTGGTAGTTGAGTTCTTCGTTGGCTGCCTGGTTGGTTCCTGTTTTTTCTCCTTTTGAGCCAGAAGAAGCCAACACCAAAAGGAATCAACCTGGCGGCCACTGGCAACAGAATTGAAACCCCATCACTTGGCTTGGTAAGTGGTATTAACTGAAAATAGTGGTAGATAAAAATAGCTGCAATTGTTTCATTCTTTTTTTTTTTGTTCTCGATTCCCAATGGCTGGCAGAAAAACGTGTTTGTTATGGCCAAAACAATGCACATTCAAGCCTATCTGAAAAAGGAAGTTACATTTTTGTATATTCATGAATTATCCAGCTTTGGTGAGGAACGCGCAGGTGCAGCAGCCACATCCCTTTAGATTAGAAACATGAAATATATTTAATGGTTAATTTATCAATAATCTTTGGTTATTTTCGTTCTTTGCAGAGTCCGGATATTAGGCAATTTATAACCATTACCCTGCCGGAGCATTTACAGCCCAAGGATAGTGTGGATAATATTTTACACAGCAGGCAGGAGGATTTGCCCGAGGCCATAAATCGTGATTTAAGGGATATCGATGAGTTTTTACCAGAAGAGGTGGCAGCATTGCCACACGAGGCTCGCGATGTTCTGAAACGCTTACTGGAATTTGATGGCCAGAAGAGGTTACATTCTGTCAGAGCTTTGCAGAAAATTGCAATGTATAAGGATTTTAAAATTGAGGCGAAATATTTATTGAATGTAAGTAGAGGTGTATGTGGTAAGAAGGTTGTTTAAAATAATTTTTTTTGTTCAGAAAGACCTTGCAAAATTCCAAAAATGTAGTTGAAAACCATATTTTTCATAAACCCAAAATTTTTTGGGAAGTTCATAAAAAATAAAAAAATCGACGGCCCTTTTCTAAGAGTTTAGCCAGAAGGTCTTTTAACAATTCTACAGATTTTTTTTTTTTTCACAATTTTTGTCCTCATAAATATATAAAAAATAAGATTTATCTTTAAAAAATTATTTTCTTTGAAAAATTCACATTTTGAGGGTAAGAAAATACTAGAAACAATTTCTGAAATTTACAAAGGTATAAAAATGCACAAAAATTAGAGCGGGCCGGAAACGTTGGTCGAGGTTCGACTCTTGCAAAAAAGTTGCCGAAAAAAAATTCAAAAAAAGAAAAAAATAATAATAATAATAATAATAATAATAATAATAATAATAATAATAATAATAATAATAATAATAATAATAATAATAATAAATAAATAAAATAAATAATTAAAAAATTGTACTCGAAGCTGGACCAAACAGAATAGTGCCTAACTTTATATAAGACTAGCAAGTGCCCGCTACTACGTCAGCAAAGAGTCCACCTTACAATTTCAGATTCATTCCAAAAGTTCATGTTAGGCCTTTTAAGTACTCAAAATGGACAATTTGTTCAGTTTGACTATATTTTGTAATCAAAACGTCATACATCGTACTAAATTTTTAGACTTTCAGGTTTGTATTTATTTTTAAAGTTTTTTTCATTTTCGGGAAGAATAAGAAGAATTTGGTAGAATCATTGCACAATGGACCCACAACTAAATTTTCTGTCCAAAACTATTTCAACGTCTCCAATGAAAACCTCTGAAACCAACAGCGTCATCTATAACAAATTTCTGGATTCCAGCTCTATCCCTTCACCCAATACCAAATTTAGTACGTTTTAGTACTTTTCGCACAATTATAGTTCGCATTTCCAAACACACCTCAAAATCTCAATTGTAGATACCTTTGATATCAAATTTCACGGTTTCAGCTCCATCCCTTCACCCAATACTAAATTTTGGTACTATTTAGTACTTTTCATACAATTATAGTGCACATTTCCAAACCACGGCTAAATCTCAAAAACAGATACCAACAGTAATCTTAATATCAAATTTCAGAATTTTATATCTATTCTTTCACCCAATGTCAAATGTAGTACGATTCAGTACTTTTCGCACAATTATAGTACACATTTCGAAACCACCTCCATATGTTGCTACATATAAACAGCGACTTATATACTAAATTTCAGATTTCAAGCACAATCGGTTCATCTAATTCCAATTTATACGAAATATAGTACTATTTAGTACTTTTCGTGCACTTGTAGTACACATTTAGAAAACCACCTCCATATATATTCCAGATACCAACAATAAACTCAATATCAAATTTGAAGATTCCAGCTTTATCCCTTTACCTAATATCAAATTTGGTACTATTTAGTACTTTTCGTACTAAGATAAGACGAATTTTCAAATCATCTCTAAATTTCAAACACGAATATTATCAATAATTTAAATAACAAATATTACGGTCTCAGCTCTATTCCTTCTCCCGATACAAAAAAAAAAAAAAAAAAAAAAATAGTACCCTTCAGTACATTTCATATAATTATACCACACATTTCTGAAACCACCTCCACATGTTCAGACTACACATGAACTGTGACCCCAATACAAAATGTCAGATGGCACTTGTAGTACACTTTTTCAAAACTATCTCTTTATCACAAACCTACAAACAACAGAGACCCTAATGCAAAATTTAAAAACTTCAGTTTTTTTTCCGTTCGGCCTAAACCAAACTGTTCCAAATTTAATAAAATTTAGTACTGTTCGCACACTCATTACACATTTTCACCTTCATATATCAAATCTACAACAATATATTTTCCATATAAAATGTCTAAAAAAGTAAGAAGAAAGAAGGTTATTTGACTACATCTATGATGGGAGGTACCAGATGGAAGGACCTAGCCAGCTAAGTATATCGTTTTCAAATGTCCCAACCAGTATTACAGTGGCCCATATTTTTATACCCACTACACTATCAATTTAGATCAAATTCGAAGAAAGATTATACCAGCTCACTCCTGCTTGTACTTCTTACACAAACAGTCAATATTTTGAAAGGGAAAATGGAAAATATGGTCAAAGCGTAAAAAATTCTTTAAATCGAAGCTAACGTAAAATGCACGGATTCCAAGGAATCTTTATTCGAACATTTGCAAAAGTGTGGAAGAGGGGGAAATTGCTCTCTGTATTTTGGTTACTTCGCGATGTAAACTTTCAAAATGCCAATACACGTGTCTTCTTTTTTTAGATCTACTTTCATAATCTGCTGCTATTTTTTTTTTTGTTGACCAGTGTTATTTTCGTCTTTTTTCGTCATATTTTTTGTTATTTTAAAAATACAATTTTAGCTTTTTATTATTTTCCTTTCAGCTCCGTCCATTGGATATAATCAAAAACGACAACATCACTCTTTTTGATGGCGACGAGAACATACGAAGTGCCGAAAACAATATTGAGGCTGCTACACTATTCCAAAACTTTTGAAAAACTATGAAAATAATTCCTGAAATATCAAAAAATATTAAGAAATCCTGATGCCTTATTTAGAATCTCATTAAGCCATAAACATTCCAATTAAGCTCAATTTTAAAATGTACAATCAAGAGTTTTTTTTTTTTGTTTTATTTAAAAATTGTTATCAGAAAGACCGCGGCAGAAGACGATCTATGTATGCGAAAGGTTTCCAACCATAAACTATCTATAAGAGATCTATAGGTAGTCATCAGACTAAAGGAGACGTGTACATACATGGCCTAATAGATTTTGAAAATATATTTTATCCCAGAAAATATATTTTATCTCTATAGAGTGTGTCATACATGTATAATATCTTTCCGAGCAATGTACATTTTAGCACACATGATTTTACTAATTTTATAAGAAAATTTGACTGTTCGGATGGAGCTATAACTCTTTGTATATGTTTCAAAATTTTATGAGTTACCGACATATATCGGCAAAATTTTGATTGGAAATCTTAATTAAGGTTGACAGCAAAGTTGGCAGTAGGACTTGGATACTACTTAATTTGGCGCTAACTTGCCTAAAATTTTCGTTAATTAACGAAATTATAATAATTTTAATTTTAACGATTTTTGTTTTTTATTTAAAAATGAGTTAGGGAATCCCACTTTTGATGAAACATATACAGGGTAGTTAAAGCTCCATCTGAACCATCGAATTTTCTTCTACAATTAATTCGACTTTGTGTGTGTATTTTTTTTCATTTAATCAGTATTGACTGAGTCAAAAAATTAGTCGTGCATGAAAAGCAGAAACCCTTGCAATATTGTGATAAATATTCAGTTGAAGCCTATTTTTTCAAGGGTGATTTTAAGGCTCGGAGCTTAAAAAGGTTTCACTTAAGCAGGCTTAAGCAGTAACAAGCCCCATTGCTAACATTTGCTGTGCATCATGCAAAGCTACCACAATTAAATGAAATTTAGTCATCAAGGAACGAAAAGCGAAAGTGCGAGCAATGCCCAAGTCTAAAATGTGAGTATTTAATTAATTTTAGTTGTTTTTTTTGTTTGCTTTTTATGGCTTGCATAAATATTGAATACAATTCAAAATTGTGTTTTTGCAAAATTGAATTAGCGTTTAAAGTTAATCAGCCATTATTTGTGCCGCAGAAAGAAAAAATTTCAATATCAAATAGAGCCTTCTAGTGGTGAATAGTACACATAACCTCAATATGGACGTGCTTAATGAATTAAGTTCCCTAAAGTATGCAACAATTTAATTTAACATATTTTATGGGAAAATATGTTGCATGCGATATTTTTGTTGTTGAAGTATGCTATAAATATTTCTTTGCAATATTTTATAATCTACTTTATGATATTAGAGAGAAATGATGAATAAAGGAGTATTAAATGTATATATCTTTAGTTTTTTTAAATACATGCATATAAAATTCTTTGGAAGAGACAATTTATAGTGGAACCAACCTAAAACTTAAAAAATATAATAATTGAACCAATTGAATATTTAATTCATATATATTATAAACATATTTTGGGTTAAAGCCTTACTTTTTGTGAGTTTGTGCAAAAATCTTCAGTAAAGCATAATTTTAGAAGGATGACATCATAGACAAAAGTATTTTTCATCAAATATTATTATTAGTTACCAATGAAATCCTAAAATATTTTGCATCAATTTTGCATCAATATTAATTTCTTCATAAATTTTTCTTCAGACTTTTTACGAGCTGACGCCTGAAAGAAACTTAACATTTTATTTAAGGGTGAAGATGCCAAGAGAAGAAATATTTAACATAAATTTTCACTATAAATCTCAGAATAAATCATATATCTAGGTGCAATAGTTTTTATGAAAATGACATTCAAAGTAAAAAAAATATGTGTTTGCTTTTTTTCTGTTAATAAAATACGTATCTATTCCGAATCAAAATATACCTTTATACATCACTTTTTGGAAAAAGTGTCAAAGTAAGAATTATTCTAGATCAATTTTCAACATGAGACTCTGAACAAAAGAAATGTGTATACCTAATATGTACCATAAAAAAAATTAAATATTTTGTCTTTGTTTATTTCTGAAAAATTAATTAAGAAAAATATAGATAAAAAATTGGGGAATCTTTTCGGGATTTTTTTTTTTTTGTAAACTTGAGCAAAGTTTGGCCTTAATCTTAAAATACCTTTAATATAAATGAATTCCTGGCGTTTTGGTAAGATAAAGGCCTGTGACGTCATAATTTTTTCTTTTTTTAATTTTATTGAATGAAAGCAAAATAATACACCCTCCAGAATATTTTCGCGACAATATTCGGCATTTATTGTGATGCCACGGTCGATTCATACGAGCGGAGAGCGACCATCGGCTGTTATGGCGGGCCACACCATCACCATGGCCGGCGCTTTAGTTCTTGCGGCCAACCGAAGGTGCACATTTTCAGCTGACCTCTTTGACCTGACCTTTGACAACGAATGTTTTCTCATCGGAGCGGAAAAACCAAATTCGGCAGTTCACCACTTTCGGCCAAGCGAAGCAACTCAATAGCTCTTTTGACTTTTGGTCTACTTTCTTTCTGTTGCGGTCTAAGTTCTTGGACTTTTTGGAATTTCAATGGCTTTACCCCAAGCTCATTTTTCAATATTTGCCGAATGGAATATTGCGATATATTCAGCTCACGAGCCATTTTTCGGCCACTGCGGGGCGGGAATTATTTTTTTCGAACCTGTTTTTCTTCCGTCCACTTCCTTTACGTCGAGCTACGCTACCAGTATCACGGTAACAAACGATGGTACGAGATTTATTAACATTTAAATGCTGGAGTGCTTTTCCATATATATATATATACAGTGGTGGCCATATCATATGCAACTAAGATTCATCTACGTTAAAAGGCTATATAAATTTGTAAATTTCACAACGAAGTATATAAAGATGGGTTAATTATAGTCAATACGTTCTTACGATTTCAAATTATTATCAAAATGTGCAGCTTTTGTTTATATCTCTATGTTCACAGGTGTTTTGTTGACAAATATGAAATTTGGTGTGGTCAAAACATATGCAACTTTATATATTTGGTTTAAATAACGGCATTTTTACAATTTCCTTTGTTCTATTGTTCTTCTTATTATTAGCTAGAGACACTGCGTAAAGAGATTTAAAGCTACCTTCACATTTTTATTGCGTTGTTTTTTCACAAAGCTACAATAGAGTTTGGTCAAAAATGGCACGCGATAAATTTGGATTTGAGCTCAGACAACGAATTGTGACTGCGTATTCTTCTGGATTATCACAGAAATGTATTGCCGAGAAATATACCGTTCATAAAAGCTCCATATCGCGCATCATTAATAATTACAAAAAAAATTCACAAGTCTCTGTTATACACCGTGGTGGTCGAAGTCGAAAAACAAGCGATCGGACGGACAAATTAATAATCAGACACGTGAAAAAAGACCCATTTATATCTTCCTCTAAGATAGTGGAAAGATTTCAGTTGCCAGTTTCTGCTCGCACCATCCGTAGAAGACTTTTACAAGCCTCCCTCTGCGCAAGACGTCCTGCAAAAAAACCACTGATATCGAAGCGAAACCAGAAAAAGCGTTTGGAATTTGCTAAAGCTCATATAAATTGGACAGAGAGTAAATGGAGAACTATATTATTTAGTGATGAGTCCAAATTTAACATCATTGGTAGCGATGGCATGTGCTATGTAAGGCGACCAGAAGGAAAACGACTCGAAGCACGTTACTGTAAAAAAACGGTCAAGCATGGAGGGGGCAATATAATGGTGTGGGGTTGTTTTTCTGGTGCTGGAGTTGGCCCCCTACATAGAATTGTTGGTATTATGGATAGATTTATGTATAAAGACATATTGCAAAGGGTAATGCTCCCATTCGCAGAATATAATATGCCATTGCGGTGGGTCTTTCAACAGGACAACGACCCCAAACACGCTTCGAAGGTGGTCAAATCGTGGTTTGCCGATAATAGAGTTACGGTAATGGAATGGCCACCCCAATCCCCAGATTTAAACCCAATAGAGAACCTGTGGGAAATCGTAAACAAAAAAATTGATCGAGAAAATTGTACAAGTTTAGATGTTTTATTTTGCCGGCTGGAAGATGCCTGGAAATCAATCCCAAAAAGCGTCATTGACAATCTTATAGCGTCAATGCCTCGAAGATGTCAGGCTGTAATCGACAACAACGGATTTGCAACAAAATATTAACTTTATTTGCACTTTACTGAGCTCGATTTAATTAGTTGCATATGTTTTGGCCACTTCATAATAAGACTGAATATCTTTTTCTAATTTTTTTTATAAATGAATTGAATATCTATGGAGTATATGTTTTTTTTTCTTAAACTACAAGCAATAAAAAATAATATTTAAAAAAATAATTGCATAATTTTGTTTTCAGAAAAATTTTTCACGGTTTTTGGTAAAGGTTAGATTTCAGTTGCATATGATATGGCCACCACTGTATATATATATATATATATATATATATATGTGGTTTTCCATATATATATATATTTTGTGATATAAAGAAATCACACTATCCCGCTTGAATTCCATCACGAATAACTTTTTTTCTGGAAAATTCTCACCAAAATGCTTCTGTACGCTTGTAAACAATATAATGAACTGTCACTGGAATAATTTAAAAAGCTGTCGGACGGCTTAGAAATGACAGCAGTCGGAAGTTGGTTGCAGTTTTTTCATCTGGCCCTGTATTTTTTGGCATTTAAGATTTTTTCTATCTAATCTATCACATTAAATAATGAAATCTAATAACTTAATTTGCCGGAAAAATTGTTAGTCAGATGGGCTATCTGTGTGACCGGTTCATATGCCTCAAATAGATATGTATGTGTCGGAACGCCAACTAAAACTTCCATTTTTTTCTGAGTTTAAAAATAACAGCCTGAGTGGCAATGACATTGCCAGACTAAAAACCTTCCATGACAAAAAATAACAACTGTTAATAGATTTTTAAACCCTAATAATTAGTATTTAATATTGCATATATTAAAGAAAACAGACTTCACACAAACATATCTTAATATATTTTCAAAATTTTCTATATTTTAAAATGTAAAACTTCAAGAACTTCTCAATATTTCCCTAATTTTGACAATGACCTGAAACATATGATTTTCCAACCCTTATCAAACAACGCTGTAGAGCACAACAGCTGGTCTGTTAAAATATATACCGTTATATTGCTTATGGCTGTAGGTTAACAGCTTTGCACTGTTGCTATTTGTTCAAGAAGTGGTGGATATTTTGATGGAGTACGTGAGTGTATGTCGGTCGGTCAGTCAGTAGGTGTGTGTGTGTGTGTGTGTGTACTAGAGAAAGTGTTCGTCTAACGTTAAGAAGAAAAAAGTGTAAGTGAAAAGAATTCAAGTGAAAAAATTGAAAAAAGTTGGAATAAAAATTCAAGAAAATGAAATAAATTTTGGAAAAATTGATTATTTATCGTAAGCTTAATTAAAAAAATATGAAAGTTTTGAGAAAAATATGAAAAACTTGTGGTTTTTTGTTAAAACAAAAAAAAGGACAAAGGCCATTGTTCATTGTGTGAAAATTCCGATAGAGAAAATTTCGCCTACTTCGAAAGGATAATTCAAAGAAAAACCCAAAAAGAAAATTTATATTTTAATATAAAAAGAAAACAAATTTGAAAATGTTTTTCAATTCTAATTTTCATTTAAATAAAATTTAGTGTTAAAATGTCAGAGGATTCCCTTTGAGAAATATATCCCAGAGAAAATAAAAAAAAAACCCCATTGAAGTGTGGTAGTTGAATCGCCCCCCTCTCTCACCTCACCGCTGTATGTATCTCGCCCACTCTATTTATTATTCATGTTAAGACACTAGCAGGAGACGAAGAAGAAGAAGCAGCAGCAGCAGTTTTAGCAGAGCTATGGCAGCTGTTGAACATACCTTTCACGGCACATGGGAGGTGAGTTTCTGCATCGACATTCAAAACAATGAAAACAAAAAAAAAAAAACATGTTTTGTTGCTTTCCCAATGGTGGCGAATAAAACAAAGCAAAACAAACAAAGTTTCGGAATGTAAATGTGTGCGTCTCTGTGTTTCTTTTTTTTTTGCAGATTGTTTCCTGTACATTTGAAGGCAAAAAGGAAATATCCGGTTTAGAAGGGTATGTGCGTGTGTGTGTGTGCTATATTGACATTCAATTGGGTGCATATGTATGTGTGTGTGTGCGAAAAATAATCAATATTTATATTATTTGTTTGATAGAATAAAATTCCGTTTGGACGACACCAGTGACATAACGTGGTACAATGATTTGGTCAGCCCTTTGCCGGAATCCAAAGACTGTGGCAGTTGTTGTGATTCGGCCAGCGTCCTTTTCAGCTGTGAAACATTTGAGATCAATGAGCAGAATCCACGTTTGATATTTGGTGCTTTTGCCGGTCATAGTATTGAATTTAATGTAAGTTGTGATAAAATATTGAATTGTGGGGAGTGGAGAAGGATCTTTAATTACACTGTGCGACAAAATTCAGACGACAACATGAAAAAGATCCTTGACAAAATTCATTTTTTTTTCAATAATTTAAGGGAAACATTTTTTGGAAGTAAAGCTAAAAAGAGGCGGTAAGTTCTCCCTCCTCTACACTTTCGGACATTTTCGGATAAAAATTCCCTGGAATCTGTGCATTTAAGGTATATAGTGTCATTGCCAATATTGCAGATTAAAATACGAAAAATAATTTGCTTAACAATTTTAATCCTCAAGCGAATTAAGGGAGGTACCAGAAAAATGGTGCGATATCTACCATATTTATAACAGATCTTGTGATGATGGAAAGTCTGAATGGAATCGGACTTTATTATAGCGTTTCATGAGCTTCATGGATACTCAAAAATTTTAACCTTTGTAGCGAAGATAGACCAGGCCTTGGGCTAACAAAAATATTGTGATGTGTGAAATTTGAAGAGAACCGGATGCCTACTTCGAATTTTATGATCGTTGTGGATATTCAAAACTTAGACCCTTTGTGGGGCAGGTACCACAAGGAATGGTTCGATCTCTACGATCTTTATAAAACATCTTGTGTTGATGGAAATATTGAGATGTATCAAGTCTGAATGGAATCGGACGTTATTTTCGCGATTGATGAGCTTCATGGATACTCAAAATTGTGACCCTCCGCGGGAGAGATCCCAGAAGCAGTGAACCGATATATCCCATCTTCACACCAGACCTTGGGCCAATAAAACTATTGCGATGTGTGTAATTTGAAGAGAACCGGATGCTTATTTCGAATTTTATGATCCTTTTGGTTATTTAAAATTTTAACCTTATATGGGGGAGGTACCGGAAGGAATGGTCCGATCTCTACCATCTTTATTACAAATCTTGTGTTGATAAAATTATTCAGATGTGCAAAGTCTGAATGGAATCGGATGTTGATTTTCATGTTTTATGGGTTTCATGAATATTCAAAATTTTGACCCTTTGTAGGGGAGGTACCAGAAGGAGTGGACCGATATATCTCATCTTCACAACAGATGTTTTGTTAGTAGAAATATTGGGATGTATGAAATATAAAGAGAACCTGATCCTTTTTTTGCGTTTTATGACCTTCATGGATATTCAACATGTTGACACTTTGTGGGGGAGCTACCAGAAGGAACGGTCCGACCGCTACCATCTATAAAACACATATTGTGTTGATGGAAATATTGATATGAGTCAAGTCTGAATGGAATTGGATGTTAATTTCGTGTTTTATGAACTTTATGGATATTCAAAATTTCGACCTTTTGTGGGGGAAGTATCAGAAGGAGTGGACCGAAATATTCCATATTAACACCAGATCTTGATTTCATAAAAATATTGGGATGTGTGAAATGTTAGGACAATCGGATTCTTACATCACTTTTTATATGAGTTGTAATTATTCAAAGTTTTGACCCTTTGTGGGGGAGGTACTTGATGGAGTGGACCGATATTGTCCATTTTAGCACCTGACCTAGTACTGACGCATATTAGGATTTGCAAAGTTGGAGCAATATCGGATTATCATTTCTCTTTCTGTTTTTTTTTTTTTTTGAAAATTTCGACCTTTTATGGGGGAGTTATCAGAAGGAGTGGACCGATATTGCCTATATTAACCCCAGATCTTGGGATAATAATATTATTGGGATGTGTGAAGATTAAAGACAATCAGACTCTTAATCACATTTTATAAAAGTTGTAATTATTCAAAGTTTTGACCCTTTGTGGGGAGGTACTTGATGGAGTGGACCGATATTGTCCATTTTCGCACATGACATAGCACTGATGCAAATATTAGGATTTGCAAAGTTGGAGCAAAGTCAGATTATTGCTTCTCTTTCTGTGCAAAAAATATAGATATTTTCTGTTTGATTTGAAAATGTCGACCTTTTGTGGGGGAGGTACCAGAAGGAGTGGACCAATGTATTCCATCTATGCACCAGACCTTGGGTTGATAAAAATATTGGGATGTTTAAATTTGAAGACAATCGGACTCTTACACCATGTTTTATAAGAGTTGTTATTACTCAAAATGTTGACCCTTTGTGTGGACCGATATTGTCCATTTTCGCACGTGACCTAGCACTGATGCAAATATTAGGATATGCAACGTTGGAGCAAAATCGGATTAAATTATTTTCTTTGAAAATTTTGACATTTTGTGGGGGTGCACCAAAAGGAGTGGTCCGATATTGATGATCTCCGAACTCGATCTAAGTTTGGCAAAAATATAACCATGTATCAAGTTTTAACCAAATCAGATACTCCCTTCGAGTGTTATCGTGCGCACCAGTCAGACAGATAAACTGACGGACATCTCTAAATAGACTTCAAATGTCCTGAAACAGATTTGGTCCAAAGGTACCTAGGGTCTAAAACCGTTATTTCGATGAGGCACGTTTTTGGCCGTATCAAATTATACATACCCTCTCTAGCCATATGGCTGAGGGTATAATTTAGGGATATATATTTTTTTATACCCTCCACCTTGGAAAGGAGGTTATATTAACTTTGTAATTCCGTTTGTAACATCCTTAAATATTCGTCGTAGACCCCATAAAGTATATATATTCATAATCAGCATAAAATTCTAAGTCGATTTAAAGATGTCCGTCTGTCTGTTGAAATCACGATACAGCCCACATTATTTGGCATAGAGCGCCAAAATTTAGCAGAGCAATTTGTATCGTGTCTAGTATGGTTGGTATTGAAAATGAGATATATCGGTCCACGTTCTGGTATAGTCCCCATATAACGGTTCCTCCCGATATTCGGTATTTTGATGATTTATGCCACATTTTTCACGGATTTATCTGAAAATTGGTATTTGTAGGTCATAACGGGTCCCTGTGCGTGTGGCAAAACATTGCATGTATAGGTCCACGTTTTGGTATAGCCCCCATATAAAGGTACCTCCTGATATTCGGTATTTTAATTTTTTTGCCACATTTTTTCACTGATTTGTCTGAACATTGGTATTTGTAGGTCATAATGGGTCCTAGTTTGTGTGGCGAAACATTGCATGTGTAGGTCCACGATTTGGTATAGCCCCCATATAACGGTACCTCCCGATATTTCGCATTTTAATGGTTTTTCCCACATTTCTTTTAATATTTCCTTTACCCTAAGGTGGAGGGTATTAAAAGTATTTTGAAATAGAGATTTATTTTCTTTAGTGACTGATAGTAAGATTTGATGAATAATATTTTGCCTTTGACATCATCCATCCAACAGAATTATTTGTTGGAGATTTTGACATAAATTCGCACAAAGTGCAGCTTAAACCCTATAATACGTTGTTAATATATATGAATTCCTGGCATTTAGATGCGATTTAGATCCTTAACGTCTCCTAGGACATGTAGTAGAATTTTATGACAAATAATTTTGTAGAATATTTTGACTTGCTACGACCCCATTTAAAGGGATTTGTTTACCATTTTTTAAAATAACCAAAAAAAACCCTTTGTTTATTCTTCGTATTTTTATCTACAAAGGCTTGAAATCGGGGAGAACTTGCACCCTTTTGGATCATTGATGCAAAAACTTTGATGGTATACAGCAGAAATAGGGATTTCTTTTTCAATGCGTTTTTGGAGATTTTTGCACAAACTCACACAAAGTACGGCTTTAACCCTAAAACGTATTTATAATATACTATATGAATTCCTGGCGTTGAGGTAAGATTTAGACCCTTGGCGCCTTCTAGGACCTATAGTAGAATTTTATAACAAATAATTTCATAGAATATTGTGACTTGCTACAATCCCGTTTAAAGGGAGTTGCTCACCATTTTTTAAAATAAGGACCAAAATGAACCCTTACTTGGCTATTATTTACTTGACTTATTCTTCGTATATAGATCTGCAGTATCGCCAAGGACATTATACACCTAAAATGCACGGATTTCGAGGAATATTATTTTATCCCTCTATTCTGTACCCGTGTCGTCTTTTTACCTTTACTTTCATAACCTGCTGGATTTTTCCCGAAACTATTCAAAAAATTTAAATTTGTCGCACAGCGCCTTACTGATTGGGCCTTTCTGACTGAAATCACATTTTTAAAAGGCACTCCAGCTTTATACGATTTAATTATAAAATAAAAATTATGTTGTTTTTATATGTCAAATTACAGATTTCCTAAATTTATTTCCAGACCACAACCCTCTGCCCCTCGGACACCTTGATTCTGTACTGTGAGAATTGGTATGCAGTGGAATGTAAAAGATTAAAAGAGGGACAAGCAGCGGGGCAAGAGAAGGAGTTTTCATTTGGTGAAGCACTGCAGGAATCCTATTTTACCGATGTCATAATCAAAAGTTCGGATGGATGTGAGGTAAGTTTCTCCGAAACTCGAATATATCAATCGAAGTATCAATAACATTTCTCCCTCTCTCCTACAGTACCACGTTCATGCCGCCATTCTACGGCTAAATGGCTTCGATTGCAGCATGTGTGTCCATCACACCAGCACCATATCCATACCTCAGGCCGTGTGTCGGACCCAGGATAGTTTAATGCCTGCGAAAGCCAAAGAAAATGCCAGCCTTCCCAATTCACCAAATCCCATCAAGATATCAGTTACTTTACCTAGCACGGGCAATAATCAAACCTCATCCACAACATCCGGGGATGATCATCAGAAATCTTTACCCCGCCTCAATTTATCACCCATTTATCTGCAACCACCTACGGAGTATGGTGTTGGCAGTACAACAACTGGCCTGAAAACACAACAACAACAGCATCATCATCACCACCAACTATCTTCCTCCTTTAACTGCCTATCGACGACAGCAAAACCTCTGCAGAATGGTAGCAGTCAAAATCTACTTAACATTGAGGGAGGTGGTGGCATGCGTCGCTTTCCACCCACCTCACACTCCGACTCCCATCTGGAATCTCACAAACTCCAACCTCAAGCGAAAAATATTTTCAATTTTTGTCAGGATTTGATGTTGCAACAAACGGTGGAAGTGTGTAGTTCGGGTGGTTGTAATACCCGAAGACCTCCGCTATCACCTTTTCGGGCCCGAAGTCCCTCTCCCTTTCCCAGTTCCATGGATACACCGCCCTCTTCGCCTTTAACACCCGTGGCAGTGCTCTACGACTTGCCGGCATTCCTATTGACACCAATCCTGCATTGGCTTTACACTGAGTCCCTGATGCCCGACATGAGCGAGGATGTGTGTGAAAAACTTATCAATTTCGCTGAGGCTCAACCGTCACTGATGAAGCTGGCCGAACCGGCAAAGAAATATTTGAAAATGATCAAATTGAAGAAGTGTAAGTGGGGGGTGTGGAGATTTATATTTGAAATATTTTTTTTAAAAAAGATTATTTTTGTTTATTCTTTCAGTTGTTGTTAATATCATAATGGATTTGCATAGCATCTTGAATCGTGTCATCCAGACCATCAATCCAGTAACAATATCACATGAACCCGCCTTACTTTATGCCACATTTAAGGATAGTTTAAGAGAATGCTCTATAGGTGAGAAGGGGAATGCTATGCCAAATTATTTCAGTTCTCTTAAATTTGAATTTTGTATGTTTTCTTCCCAGGATGTGCCAAAATTTTACAATTTTGCAATATATTTATTAAGGATGCCGCCGATATTGCACGTTATCAAAAGAATGAAATCATCAAATATGTCCGCACTCGAATACCCATTTTTATGTCACAACTACATCAGCTGCTGCGTAACATTTTGAATGTATTTTTAAGTCTAACGCCTGACGAAAAAGATGAATTAGCTAATTACTTAGTACCTGAGGTGAGTGGATACAACAAAAATTAGATAATGATTCGAAATTTCTCTCTTTCGAAGAAAAATTATTCCAATCTCTAATAAAACCATGTTTAGTTCAAATTTCGGACATCGAAATATTGTTACTAAATTTGGATGGGGTGCGACAACAGGTTGAAGCTTCGCATTTTGCCAAACTTAGTATACCCCCACAAATAGTCATCAATTTGAACGATTATGACTCTTGTACAATAATTCACAAAGTGAATGAATTTCTCATAACTCCATACTTTTTCAAAATTAAAAAAAAAAAAAACAGTAAAGAAAGTCTTAAAGTCGGGCGGGGCCGACTTTATGATACCCTACACTACTTTGCTAATTTAGTAGAGCTCCGCATAACAATTAAAAGTTTCTATGGGAGAATTCAATCATACACCCTATGATTATAATTATAATTTAAAATTCATTTGTATCTTTTAAATTCGGATTTGTATTGCCCATTTGATGCACAATTAATTTGAAATCGGATAAAAATATATATAAGAGCTATATCCAAATCGGAACCGATCTCGATAAAATTTGGCAAAGATATTTCTGAGCTGTATTTGATATATTTCCCTGAATATCGTTGTTACGGAGTGCATATTATGGCTGTGGGTAACAAATATGACAAATCGGATGAACATTATATATGGGAGCTATAGCTATATCTGAACCGATCTTCACCAAATTTGTCATACTAGCTTCTAGACTCAATTCGGTCGTAAGTGCCAAATTTCATCCAATTTGGACAAATATTAGACGTTTGGTGCACAATCAAAGGTAAATCGGACGAAGTTATATATGGGAGATATATCCAAATCTGAACCGATTTCGATAAAATTTAGCAAATGTATTTCTGAGCTGTATTTGATATATTTCCCCAAATATTGTTGTTTCAGAGTGCATTTTACAGCTGCGGAGGACAAAAATAACAAATCGGATGAACAATATATATGGAAGCTATAGCTATATCTGAACCGATTTCGATCAAATTTGGCATACTTATTTTCAGGCATAATTTGGTTGTATGTGCAAAATTCCATAGTATTCGGGCTGATATTACACGTTTGGTGCACAATACAAGGCAAATCGGACGAAGATATATATGGGAGCTATATCTAAATTTTGACCTATTATCTCGAATTTCAATAGTGTTCGTCCTTGGCCCGAACAAATGATTTGTGCAAAATTTCATCTGGAAAGGGTAATAAATGCGAACTGTACTTTGTTTACAAAACTACATGGACAGACGGACGGACGGACGGACATGCATAAATCGACTCAGAATGTGATTCTATGCAGATCATCAACAGGAACTATGGGTCTATCTCGTTTCCTTTTGCCTGTTACAAACAAATGCACAAAGACATAATACCCTGACCACCATGTGGTGTGGGGTATAAAAATACCCCGCAATATCCAAATATTGTATGGAACTAGCAAGTTCCCGTTACTTCGTCAGGGAAAGGTCCTTTTTAAAATTTTAGATTTATTCCAACAGTTCGTGTTAGTCCTTTTTAGGATATTCGGTATTTGAAGGTTTCTGCCACAATTTCCTATCAAATCAGCTGAAACTTTACATTTGAGTTTCTCGCTAGGCCTCTCTCTCTATATCTCTCTCCCTCCCTATCTGCAGCTCTCATATAATTGTACCTCCACATTTTCGGTGTTTGGAAGGTTTCTACCACAATTCTCGGTCAGTTCTCTCCCTGAAAAAAATATTCGATTCAGGTCCACTAATTGATATAGTCCCCACATAACGATACCTCCCAATGTTCGATATTTTGATTATTTTAGCCACATTTTCATATTTTTTTTTTCTTGGCTAGTGGTATAGGTTGTTTAAATTTCGGCTCGGACGAACGTGTTAATACCCAAAATGCACAAATTGTTCAGATTGACAAGATTGGACCTACATCCAATTTTTCCGCCCAAAACTATTTAAACGTTTCTATGTATAAGCCCTAGAAAGCAATAGTGACCTTAATATCAAATAACAGAATTTTAGCTCTATCATTTCACCCAATATCAAATTTAGTAACATTTAGTGCGCATATCCAAAACATTCTAAATCTCTCCATCCGAGACACCAACAGTGAACCAAAAGTAATACCAATTAGTACTTTTCGACCAAGTATAGTACGCATTTTCAAAAAAACCGCCAGATAACAACAGAGACCTCAATATCAAATTTGAGGATTTCAGCCCTGTCCCTTTACCCAACACCAACTTTAGTACTATTTAGTACTTCTCGTACAATTATAGTACACGTTTCCCAAACTATCTCCAAATCTTAACCACAGACACCAACAGTGACATCTATACGAAATTTCAGGATTCCAGCTCTATTTCTTCGCTCAACATCAAATTTAGTACATTTTAGTACATTTCGTAGAATTAAAGAACATATTTCCAAGCTACCGACAAACACTCAAACACAGGCAAACTTAATATTAAATTTCAGCATTCTATTTCCATCCCTTCGCCCAATATCAAACATTGTACCATTTAGTACTTTTCATACAATTATAGTACACATTTCCGAAAGAATATGTCCAAACTAGACATGAACATCGACCCTAATACCAAATTTCAGATTAGAAGCACTATTTGTTCACACGATACCAAATTGTACCAAATATAGTACTATTTTGTACTTTTCCCGCGCTTGTAGTACACATTTCCAATATTACCTCTGTATAACAATCCTACCACCAACACCAACACGCAATACCAACATTTCAAATTACCAGTTCCTTTCTTTCACCCAAAAACGGAATTGTACCAAAATTTAGTACCATTTAGTACAGTTATTACACTTAGTATACATTTCTAAAACCAGCTCTATTTTTTAGCCAGCCCTATAGGTTCACTTAAATTCAATTTGTACCAAATTATGGCACATAAGTACAAATTTCCATATTAACCTGTATCATACAATCCAATAGAAATCTTTTTTCCAAATTTCGGTTTTCCAAAATTATTAAAATTGTATCAAATTTAGTAACATTAAGTACTCATAAGTACAAATTTCGAAAACTACCTACATACCTCAGTCCTACAATGCAATAGTAATCTTATTTCCAAATTTCAGCATTTCAGCTCTATCGGTTCACCCAAATTGAAATTGTACCAAATTTAGTACCATTTAGTACTTTTCGTGCAAATTTCCTAAACTACCTACATACCCCAATTCTACACTCCTACAGCAATCTCAATTCCAAATTATTGGATTCCATATCTGTCACCCAAATACAGATTGTACCAAATTTAGTGACATGTAGTACACATAAGTACGAATTTCCAAAACTTTCTTTATAACCCAATCGTACACGTCAACAGTAGTCTCAATTCCAAATTTCAGACATCAGCTCCATTGGTTCACCCAAATTGAAATTGTACCAAATTTAGTACCATTTAGTACTTTTCGTGCAGATAAGTACAAATTTCGAAAATTACCTCCATATCCTAATCCTACACTCCGCCACTAATGTTTATTTAGAATTCTCCATCCGTTCCTCTAAATTCGTATTGTACCAATTTTAGTGCCGTTTAGTACTTTTTGTATACATGATTGCACACTTCCAAAATCTCCTTAAATCGTACCTATTACTCAACCTTGATTCCATTTTAAAAATTTTCAAGTTTTTAGCTCTAACCGTTCTAATGATACGAAATGTTACCAAAGGTAGTACATGTTAGTACATTTCGTACACTTATAGTGCGAATTTCCAAAAATGCTTTGGTACATTCATCATAGACTTCATCAGTGACCCTTATTTCAAATTTAAGAGTTATAACTCTATTGCTTGCTCAAATACAAAGGGTATTATATCTAGTACGTTTTAATACTTTTCGTAACGTCCAGTAGGAATTTCCAAAAACTCAGCCTTATCTGACCCCGAGATTTACCCTCACGCAAAATTTCAAAATTTTAGCTTCAGCCGTTTAGTCTGGATGTTGATGAATCCTTAAGTCAGTCAATATCTTTACTTTTTTATTAATGTGGATAGATGCATTCTTGGGAATCTTACAAAATCTATAATTTAATTTTAAGAAAATGTTGAACTTGAAACGATTATCCTTTGCAGAGGATTGCATTTCAACAATTATTTTAATCATTCGATTTAATTTTCTTCTTCTTTTTTCAGATTGAAAAAACTTTATTGATTTTAACTAGTGTGATAGAAGAAATCAAAAATTCTTTAGAGAAAATGTGTAAAGTAAGTAAATCCTTCCTCTGTTATCCTTTTAAAACATCTTTATATTTTTTTTGCTTTTTCCAGGACTTAAAATGCTCACATTTAGATTTATCGATGAAATATGCAACAGATGATGCTGTTGCCATGCAAATACAAAATAATACCTTTATAACGGCAAATAATCCTATGGATGATGCTAGCACGGTTACGACACTCTTCAGTCAGCCACCATTGTCGCCTAGACCACGACGGGGACCACCCATCGGTTTGACGTTGTATGATAATCCGACGGATAAACAGCGACTAATGAGTGCCGAAAATGATTTGAAATTCGTTTTGTATATGTACGAAGTAAGGAAAATGAGAGATATATATGGTCGAATATCGGCTGCCTTGGAGATAATTAGAGATAAGAAGTAAGAGAGAGATTGAAATCTTTAATTGAGGTTTGAAATATTAAAATGCTGTTTGTGTTTCTGTTTTAGGACCACCTATTGTGAAATGGATTTCCTAAGCAAACGCAGTACCATCAATCAAAATCTAGAACAGCTAATTGTGGATATTCCAACGTACATATTGATTATGGAAAATCTCTCAGATCGCTTGGAAGAGAAGTTGGGATGGAAGGAGTTTAAATTCTGTTTCAAATTGGCAACATCGCAAATTGTAAGTTTGATTTAAATACTTTCAGAAATGATTATTTATTTTTATTTTTCATTTAATACATTGTAGTATTGGACAAACTAATTATTTTCTATTATTCCTTCCAGAATGGCGTAATTGTGAAAATATTTGATCATAAATCGGCTTTGAAGGATGCCATGAGTCAGGTACGATGAAAATTGTCTTGTAATCAAAATGTCCTTAATTATAATTCCAATAATTCTCTCTCAACATTTAGATCTGTAAATTGGTCCAGAAGCAAGAATTTACACACACCCTGATCGAGCTTGGCCTATTGGAACCATCGAATATATTGGAGAGTGAATTGAAAACATTACAAAGTGAAGATACATTTGAGCTGACCTTGGATCCCTTGGTTATGGAGCGAACGCATGATTATGACTACAATAGTGTGAAGGTAAATATCGTAAAACCACTAAATAAAGTCATAAAGTCGGGCGGGGCCGACTTTGTGATACCCTACACCACTTTGCTAATTTAGTAGAGCTCCACATAACAATTAAAAGTTTTTATGGGAGAATTCAATCATACACGCTGTGATTATAATTATAATTTAAAGTTCAAAGAACTAAATATGCCGAAACATTTGTATCTTTTAAATTCGGACTTGCATTGCCCTTTTGGTGCACAATTAATTTGAAATCGAATAAAGATAGATATTGGAGCTATATCCAAATCTGAACCGATCTCGATAAAATTTGGCAAAGATATTTCTGAACTGTCTTTGATATATTTCCCCAAATACTGCTGTTACAGAGTGCATATTACGGTTGCGGAGGACAAAAATCACAAATCGGATGAACAATATATATGGGAGCTATAGCTATATCTGTACGCATTTCGATCAAAATCGGCATACTTTTCAGGCCTAATCGGCTGATATTACACGTTTGGAGCACAATAAAAGGCAAATCGGACGAAGATATATATGGGAGCTATATCTTAATTTTTACCGATTATCTCCAATTTTAATAGGGTTCGTCCTTGGGTCAAACAAATGATTTGTGCAAAATTTCATCTGGATAGGGCAATAAATGCGAACTGTACTTTGTTTACAAAAATACATGGACAGACGGACGGACATGCATAAATTGACTCAGAATGTGATTCTATGCAGATCCTCAAAAGGAACTATGGGTCTATCTCGTTTCATTTTGCCTGTTACAAACAAATGCACAAATACATAATACGCTGACCACCTTGTGGTGTAGGGTATAAAATAGTACCACCTAGTACTTTTCCAACAAATATATATCGCTTTTGCAAAAAACAAAAAGATACCACCAGAGACCTACATATCACATTTCGGGATTCTAGGTCCATTCCTTCCACCAATTTTGTTATATTTGGTACTTATCGTACAAGTATAGTACGCATTTCCAAAACCATCTCCATATCTCAATTCCAGATACCAACAGAGACGTCAATATTAAATTTGAGAATTGCAGTCCAGTCCCACCTCCTAATACCAAATTTAAAACCATTTAGTAATTTTCGTACAAATACCAAATATAGTACCATTCAGTACTATTCGTACAATTATAATGCAAATTTCCAAAACCACCTCCATAATTTAACCACAGACACCAACAGTGATATCCATATCAAATTTAAGGATTCCAGCTCTATCCCTTCAAATAATTCCAAATTTAGTACTATTTAGTACTTTTCGAACAATGTTAGTACAAATTTTCAAACCCATATCTCATATCCAGACACGATCTCATATCCAGACATCAATACCATTTTTCGAGATTCCAGCTCTGCCTCTTAACCCAAAACCCAATTTAGTTCCTTTTGGTACTTTTGGTACACCTCCTTCTTTTTCGCAGACTTCGCATGACTTTTTGACCTAATATCAAATTTCAAGATTATGAAGGGAAATATGACATCAAAAGGGAAGGGAAATCTTTAGATACCCAGTAGATAAACTACCTTCAAAGTGATCTGAAGATAGAAGACATATAAGATCATATGTGTATATATGACCCTTTTTTATAATCTGTACAATCATGAATATCGGCGTTGAATTTGATTCCACGGAAAGTTATTGTCTTGAGATATAATTTATCTAATCTATATCTACTTTAATAACAAAGTAAAGTAATTGACTGGGTGGCTGACTGACTGACTTAACAATTCAATAACACCCAGACAAAGCAGCAGAGCTAGAATCTTAAAATTTTGTGTGAGGGTCACTCTTGGTTCGAAGCGGTCAGATAATACTGGGTTTTTGTAAATTCATACTAGAACGGTACGAAAAGTATTAAAAGGTACTGAATTTGGTACCTTTGTATTTGAGAAAGCAGTAGAGCTAGAACTCTTTAATTTGGTAGATGTATCAAAGGGAAATTGGAAATTCGCTACATCATTTGAAGTTAGAGCTAAAACTGGAATAGGAATTAAGTTTAAGGAGTAGGGTTGATGTAGGTAGTTTTCGAAATTTGTCCTTATGTGCATAAATAGTACTAAATGGTAGTTAATGTGGCACAATTTCGATTTGGGTGAACCGATAGAGCTGGAATGCTGAACTGTTGCATTTAGGACTGAGATATGTAGGCAGTCTTAGAAATTAGTACTTATCTGTACTAAATGGTACTAAATTTGGTACTATTTAAATTTTAGGAGAACCAGTAGAGTTGGAATTCTGAAATTTGTAAATAAGATTGGGATTGAGAGTGGGATTCTCTGTTGGTGCTAGGTTTGTGATAAGAAGGTGTTTTTGGAAATCTTTACTAGAAGTGCACGAAGGGAACTAAATAGTACCATATGTGCTACAATTTGGTTTTAGGTGAAGAGATAGCGCTTGATATCTGAAATTTAGTAATAGGTTCGCTGTTCATGTGCAGCCTGGACATATGGAGGTGGTTTCGGAAATGTGTGCTATAATTGTACGAAAAGTTCTAGGTATGGTATTAGGTGAAAAAATACCGCTGTTGGTATATAGTTTTTTTTCGAAAAGTAACGAAGTGTGCTATATTTGCCGTTGAGTGAATGTATAGGGCCTGAAGTCTTAAAATTTATATTGAGGTCACTCTCTGGTTTCTATAATTTAGATATAGTGATGGCAATTTTTTTTTTTATAAAAAGACTTTGAGAATGTGTTGTCCAAAGGGTTTTTATAAATTTTGAACTTCAAGGTTTTTAATACAGTCTTTCCAAAAAGGTCCAGAATTGTTTAATATTCCTTTACTTTCAAATATGCTTTTACTTTCAAAAATATCGTTTTAAGCCCTTTCAAAAAAGTGACATTCGTGAAAATTTTTTAAGAATTCCACAAGAATCTCTGTAACTGCAAATAGTTTGAATTTGTTTAGTACCACATATTTTTTTATTTCTCTATCTCCCCTGCAGCTTAATCTCATACGCCATCTATGCGAACCGCCCATAGCTGCCAGTAGTAATCTATCGAAAAATGCTTTGCGGCTTCTACACTCGGCTCAACTATCGGATATGGAATTTGAAGTTCACATGTATGCACCGCAACAGCAGGACAGCCAGGCGCCTGGTCTCAATGGAATAAATAAATCCGAAATAGATATACAGCTGATGGCATCACATAAATCATCAATACAAGTGCATACTTTTAGGGCGCATCGGGTTATTGTGGCAGCACGATGTGAATGGTTCAAAAAGGCACTGATGTCCGGCATGCAAGAGAGTTTGACGAGGTAAAAATATACATACAAAGTACATACACATATGCAAATATACACTCATACACTCATACATACGTACATATACACATAACTTCAATGAAAATAGAATTAAAAAAAGGTTTCTTTATTTTTAGAAAAATCATCGTCACCGATTGCTCTCCGGTGATCTTTCGTCGCCTTTTGCTGTATCTATATGGTGCTCCCATTGACAAGACTGTGGGTCCAGAACATATCTGTGAATTAATGCTATTGGCTGATAAATATTCCATAGATGATTTGAAGGTGAGTTTGGAGGTTTATACGACCACTACTAGAAATGATTGAAATCTAATTTTCTTTTACAGGAATTGTGTGAAAATACCTTAAATTCTCAAATCGATGAACATTCGGTGTTGTGTCTATTGGGTATTGCCGATCATTACATGGCCACAGCGTTGAAATCCAAGTGTCTTTCGTTTCTCTCACAAAATTCACATTTGACAAAGGCTGCTATGTTTAAGGAGTTATCAAGGCCATTACAGGTAAGTGGTGAAATATTCAATGTAGGGGGAAGTTATCTAAAGGGAGGCCTAACTAGAACGCAATTTTTAAATTTTAAATGAAACACAGATAATTAAAAGACAAATTTGTTAGACTTTATCATATCGGAAAGTAGGCAGAATGAAGTTTTGTATAGAATCTGTACTATAGACAAGAAAACACTGGTTATCATTTCACGATACCAATTTTACAATTATGTTCTTTTTGGGACACCCCTTAGAAGATCTGTAATAATTTTATAATTTTTATATTTCTTATAATTTTATTTTTTCCAACCAGCTTGAAGTTATGGATTTAATACACTGGTATGGCCGCGTATCGGAGCCATGGTCTGATACGGGTGGCTTCAAGCCGCGCAGCACCTCCCGGCACAGTCTCAAGAGTCCCTCGAAGCCCCGTTCACGTTCCAGAAAATCATCACCCTCCTTTATGTGACACTGACTTTTAAGGCTTAGGGGTAATTAAATGTATGGTAATCTAAATGGAAATCAAAGATCGAAACTATAGATATTTTTGAAATTACACAATTGATGGTGAAGTGGAGGCAAGATTGGAGCACTTATAAGAGACTAATTAAAAAAAAAAAAAACATTAATTTACGAACTTTGAAAATTCGATCTAATTGATAGAAATTTTTACCATTTTTAGAGAAGATACCAGAAGCAGTGGCCCATATTTGACATTTTCCATCGGGCCTATTTTTATACCCTACAACACCATGTGTTGGGGGTATTATAAGTTTGATTGGGCCAAAAATTATGTAACACCTCGAAATATTGGTTTCCACATAGGAAAGTATATATGGATCTTCCTATCTCGCCGAGCTGAGTCGATCTAGCTATATATGTCCGTCCGTCCGTCTGTCCATGTTAATTTGTAATCACTCTACAGGTCGCAATTATGGCCCGATCTTCACGAAATTTAGAATGGAGGTGGAGGTGGCTAGGGCCAGAATATAACCCTATTGCTTTTGGAGATGATCGCATAATATTTAGGGGTCGAAATGGACCAAAACTGAAAAATTTCCTGATTTTGCAGTTGCTCTACAGGTCGCAATAATAGACTTATCGATGCCGAATTTAGCATGGAGCTAGAGCTTAGGGCTGGGCAGAAGTCTTCAAACTGCAAAAAAACTGCAACAAAGTCAAACGCCATAATTTTTACATTTTTTTTTTTAAATTTTATTGAATGAAAGCTAAAAAATATCGGAAATAGCATTTTAGAATAAGTTTAGATTTGTGCGAATTGATCACCTTTGGCACGAATTATAGCCCTCAAACGGCCAATGAAACCGTCACACGCTGCTCGAATGTTGCTCTGTGGTATTTTGGCCCATTCCCGGCGAAGCGCTTAGTGCCAACCTTGCTTTCCAAAATACTCCAAACACAATAGTCCAACGGATTGGTATTCGGAGATTTTGGTGGCCATTGTGCGCTGAAAATAAAGCGAGGAACCTCATTTTGTAACAATTCTTTGGTGGCGCGTGCTGAGTGCGATGGAACCTAGTCCTTAATACACCCTCCAGAACATTTTTGAGATAATATTCCGCAATTATTCTGATGCCAAGGTCGATTAATAGGAGCGGAGAGCGACCATCGGATGTTATGGCGGCCCACACCATCACCATGGCCGACGCTTGAGTTCTGGTGGCCAACCGAAGGATCACATTTTCAGCTGACCTCTTTGGCAATTAAACACGATCATTTTGTTTGTTTACAGACTGCTGGACAACGAATTTTTTCTCATCGGAGAAAACCAATTTCGGCAATTCACCACTTTCCGCAATTTACCAAAAGAAGCAAATCTTTAGCTCTTTTGAGTCTATTTTCTTTCTGTTGCCGTGTAAGTTCTTGCTCTTTTTGGAATTTCAATGGCTTTACCCCGAGATCATTTTTCAATATTTGCCAAATGGAATATTGCGATATGTTCAGCTCATGAGCCATTTTTCGGTCACTGCGACGCGGGTTTCGATCAAGTCGCTTCTTTATTTTTCGAACCATTTCTGCTGATGTTGCTGTTTTCTTCCGCCCATCAGTATAACGGTAACGAGCGATGGTACGAGACACAAAAGATTTATTCACATTTAGATGCTGGAGTGCTCTAACAATAGCCACTTGTGGTTTTCCAGCCAAATATAAAGATATCACAATATCACGCTAGAATTTTATCACGAATAACTTTTTTTGTGTAAAATTCTCACCAAAATGCTTTTGTACGCTTGTAAACAATATAATGAACTGTCACTGGAATAATGAAGTTGGTTGCAGTTTTTTCATCTCACCCTGTAATTGTACGAAAAGTACTAAATAGTGCTAAATTTGATATTTGATGAAGGGAAAGAGCTGAAATCTTGGAATTTAATTAAGGTAACACTCTTGGTGTCTGTTAAGATATGGATGTGATCTTGGAAATGCGACTACAATTGTGCGAAAAGTACTAAGTGGTATTGGGTGAAACAGTAGCGCAGGGCCTCAATTCTTGTTCTATAGAAATGTGAAATGAAAACATTTATAAAGGAAAGAAATGTCAATTGAAAAATTTTATAAAGGAATTTCGATCGGGTCGAATCTTTAATACCATCCACCATTTGAAATAAACTTGAAAAAAAAAATGGGGGCTATACGAAGGAGGCCCTCTCTACAAAAAGGGAGGTACTTTTAAACAGGGGCTACACCAAAACGTTGACCTGCACAGACAATTTTCAGTCATTGGCTGTAGTATCCATTACGAACTTCAAATACCAAATTTGAAACATTTCCGGTGAATAATGTCGCTAAAAATCACCAAACTACCAAAAATAGGGATGTATTATTATATGGGGGTTATACCAAAAGACAGACGAGCATTCGACAAAGAATTTTATGCTGATCAAGAATATATATACTTTGTGGGGTCTAAAATGTATGTTTCGAGGTGTTACAAACGGAATGACAAACTTAATATACCCTCCATATTTTGGTGGAGGGTATAAAAATAATTGTTAAATATGTCAAATAAGTGTTCATTCCAAATTTGTAGGATATTTCGGTACATTTTTTTGGTACTGGTGTAATATCTGCTGGTGAAATATCGGCTGCAGTCACTTTTGAAATAAATCAAAATAACACCTCTTTCATAAATCACTACCTACATTAAGCGCTATTTTTTTTTTTTTTTTGTCTAAAAATGAATTTTTTCCATGATTAAATCTACTCTACTCTTTTTCTAAAGAAAAATTTTCCTAAGCAAAATTTTACAAGTGTCAACATCTTGCCTTCACCACAATGACATGGAATGTTTACAGGTTTAAGATAAAGCAATTGTTTTGGAATTCGATTTTTTTTCTAATTATGTTTATTATGAGTGTTATATTTAAAATGCAAAAGAAATGAAAAATAAAAAAACTAATAATATTTTAAATAGATGACAACAACAAATTACTATGTGTAATTAAGAAATACAATTATATATTTTACAAACCAAAAAAATTAGAAATAGCAACAATTATCACAATAAAATTAAAAAAAATCCCATAAAAAAATAAATCAAATCATTGTTCATGCTGCACTGTTGTTTTTTAGTTTTACAACAACAAAACAGAAATTTAATAAAAAAAATCAGCAATTAAAAAATATATTTAATAACTCTAACAGCAATCACTGAACATCCCTCCTATGAAATACATACTCACTCAGCAAATAAAAATCAAAGCTCACCCAGAAAACATACATATCCAAGCAAAACGATTTTTTCGCCTCTAATTAATGTACCTTAAATTTAAAATGTTTTTTCGGTCTTCTTTAAATGTATAACTAACAAAAAATAATCTAGAAAACAAATATTGAAATAATTTTTTTTAATTAAAAAAATCAAACACAAGAATTTATTAATTCCAAAGAGAAACTAATCATAAGCTATTAAATTAAAATCACTAATACTACTACTGCTACTAGTAAAACACATAATCGTACATATTTATACACATACATACACATATATTTTCGGTGTCAAAACTCAAAAACACGAAACAAATCAAACTCAGATTTCATCGACATTATTATAATTGTATTTTTTTATATATGTATTTGTTTTTATTCTTCTTCTTGTTTTCCAACTATACTCAAAGTTTATATTTATAATAAAAGAAATAGAAAAATTAAAAATAAATAATTTTAGGTGTATTTCTTGATTGAAATAAAAAAAAAAAAAAAAACAAAAAAAAATATTTTAAATTTAAATCCCCTAGAATTTAAGCTAAGAATTAATTATAAAAAAGAATTTAGTTTAAAAATCAAAAAAGGAAAATATTTAATTCCCATAGATGTTATGGACGAAATCCTAAAAAAGAAGTATTTAAACAATTGATTAAATTTTTAAAATTCCCTATAGCTTTAGTTTTTACTGAAAATTACTTGTTTATCTTTTCAATATTTTTTTTTAATATCAAGGATATATGTGGTTGGAATGGAATTTTTCAATTGAAGTATTATTTTTATACCCTCCACCATACTATGGAGGGTATATTAACTTTGGCATTCCGTTTGTAACTCATCGAAATAATGATCTTAGACCCAACAAAGTATATATATTCTTGATCAGCGTAAAATTCTAAGACGATTTAGCCATGTCCGTCCGTCTGTCCGTCTGTCTGTTGTAATCGCGCTATCTTTCGAACGAATTGAGATAGAAGGCTAACATTTTTACACATATTTATTTTGCCAGTAGGTTAAGTTCGTAAATGGGCCATGTAAGTCCACGTTTTCATATAGCCCCCATATAACGGTACCTCCCGATATTCGGTATTTTGACGATTTTAGCGACATTATTTACCCGAATTGTTTCAAATTTGGTGTTTGAAGTTCGAAATGGATACTACAGCCCAAGGCAGAAAATTTTCTATGCAGGTCCACATCTTCCTATAGCCCCCATATAACGGTACCTCCAATATATTCGATATTTTGACGATTTTAGCGTCATTATTCACCGTAGTAGTTTCAAATTACGTATTTAGAGTTCGCAATGGGAACTGCCTATGTAGGTCCAGGTCTTCGCATAGGTCCCATATATTAGTACCTCCTTATATTCGGTATTTTGACGATTTTAGGTACGATACTTACCGAAATTGTTTGAGATGTCGTATTTGAAGTTCGTAATGGATGCTACAGCCTATGGCAGAAAACTGTCTATGCTGGTTGAGGTCTTCGCACAGCTCCGGTATAACGCTACCTCCTATATACGATATTTTGATGATTTTGGCTACATTATTCACCGTTTATTTCAAGTTTCGAATTTGAATATGGTAATGGCTTGTGACAAACAACGCCCATGTAGGTTCACGTCGTACAGGCCCTAATATAACGGCTATATTCGGTATTTTTAAAATGTTAAAAGAATTTTTGGCGAATATTATCTTTTTCAAAAATTTTCAAATTCGTTCTAAATGGTGGAGGGTATTCAAAGTTCGGCTCGGCCGAACTTACTGCTTTTTTACTTGTTTAACAACCAAAACAATTAGACAATATTTTGCCAGGAAAAAAAAAAACTGGAATGAAAGCTGTTTCTCAATTTTTGGTCAGTTTTCAGAAATCTTTTCTAGTTTTCGAGATATTCCTGTAAAAAAGGTAATTTGTTGAAATTTGAATTCATTATTATAATAACGACAAAAATCAATTTTTCAATACTTACGGGGACCATTCTGCAGTTTATGAAAATAGAGCTAAAAAAATAAGACATGTATATCGGCGTTTTGAAACTTTACATCAAAAATTAACCGAAATAGATGGGGTAAGTTCCCCCCTCTTCCACACTTGTGAATATTTTCAGATTGAGACTTCTTGGAGTCCGTGCATTTTAGTTATATTGTGCCTTCAGCAATATTGCAGATAAGTGTGAGTCAAGAAGGGGCATTTTTGGTAATTTTTATACCCTACAACACTATGTGTTGGGGGGTATTATAAGTTTGATTGGGCCAAAAATTATGTAACACCTTGAAATATTGGTTTCCCACATAGGAAAGTTTTATGGATCTTCCAATCTCGACGAGCTGATTCGATCCAGTTATATATGTCCGTCCGTCCGTCTGTCTATGTTAATTTATAATTATGTCGCAATTATGGCCCGATCCTCACGAAATTGAAAATGGCGGTGGGGTTATGGTCAGAATAGAACCCTATTGTTTCTGAAGATGATCGCATAATATTTAGGGGTTAAAATGGACCGAAAACTGAAAAATTTCCTTATTTTGCAGACCAATCCACCCGGAAGTTAGCATGGGGCTACAGCTTAGAGCTGAGCATAAGGCTTCCAATTCGGATGGTCATCGGGTAATATTTAGAGGGTGAAATCCACCATAGTCAAATTTTTCATTAAACCGCGAATATTTTTAATCCTGGCGAAATCACAAATTAGATGAAATGGTCTGGGACTAGACAAAACTCTATATTGACAGTTCTATGCAAGGTGGTTGCATCCATAATGCTGGTTACAATTTGATTAAAACACAAAATAAACCTTAAATCTGTCGATACAGTTACAGGGTGAGATAAAAAAAAACTGTAACAAAGTTTAAATTTGTTCGAATTGGTCATCTTTGGCACGAATTATGACCTTCAAACGGCCAATGAAACCGACACTGAAATGCTGCCCGAATGTTGCTTTGCGGTATTTTGGCCCATTTTCGGAGAAGTACTTGCTTGAGGTAATCGACACTTTGGTATTTTTTTAGTGCCAACCTTGCTTTCCAAAATACTCCAGACACAATAGTCCAACGAATTGGTATACGGAGATCTCATCCTCTATCATTTTGTAACCATTCTTGGGTGGCGCGTGCTGAGTGCGATGGTGCTGTGTCTTGCTGGAATGTCCAAGGTCTGCGGCCAAAACGCTTGCGTGCCCAAGTCTTTAATACACCCTCCAGAATATTTTCGCGATAATACGTCGAATAATACAAGCAGAGAGCGGCTGTTATGGCGGCCACACCATCAACATGGCCGGCGCTTGAATTTTGTTTGCCAACCGAAGGTGCACATTTTCAGCTGACCTCTTTGGCCTCTTTGGTAAACACTATAATTTTGTTTGTTTACAAACTGCTAGACAACGAATGATTTCTCATCGGAGAAACCCAAATTCGACAGTTCACCACTTTCGGCCAAGCGAAGCAACACTTTAGCTTTTTTGAGTCTAATTTCTTTCTGTTGGGGTGTAAGTTCTTGCATTTTTTGGAATTACAATGGCTTTACCCCGTGCTCATTTTTCAATATTTGCCGAATAGAATATTGCAAAATGTTCAGCTCACCTACGACGCGGGTTTCGATATAGTCGCTGTTTTACTCTTCGAACCATTTTTGCTGATGTTGCTGTTATCTCCGTCCACTTCCTGGACTTCGGGCTACGCGATGGTACGAAACACTTGTGGTTTTCCAGCCAAATGTAAATAAATCACACTATCACGCTTAAATTCCATTAGGAATAACATTTTGTTTTGGAAAATTTTCACCAAAATGTTTTTGTACGCTTGTAAACAATATAATGGGCTGTCACTGGAATAATTTTAAGAGCTGTTGGACGAGTAGCTTAGAAATGACAGCAGTATGATTTTGGTTGCAGTTTTTTCATCTCACCCTGTATATGAGGGCAATACCAAAATGTGGCCCTATAGTGGCATTTTTAATACCAAAAGCCCACATATCTGAGTAATATTTCATCAACCTACTTCATTTCTTTCGGAAGCTAGAGTGATTTTCACATACCGGCGGGCATCGCTGAGCCGACACTGAATATATACCTCGAGATATTATAAACGGACTGACAAACTTATTCAATATTTTCCGCTGTACTTGGTATTGGACTCTCAACCGTATGATACGTACCGCTGTTTTGTTTTTTATTAACCGATTATAGCGGCTCATGCAGCTCTCATGTTTTAATTGAAATACCTTTAAAAACTGTTTTCTTTTTTAAACAACTTATCCAACATAAAATTTTTCCCATAATCTAACTGATTTTTGATCTTCGTAAGAAGAACTTTATTTTTTTTAAACCCTTACCTATTCCAACCACTGAATATTTACCGAACTATACATTTCACTTTGATTTATTTAAATAGAAATTGTATTTATTATAAATGTATTTACTGTTTGTATTCTATTTATACTTATTGTTGTCTTTTTAATTCTCTGAATAAAATAAAAAAATGTGAAAAATTAATAAAAAAAATTAATAAAAATATTTACAAAAAAAATGTTAAATGGCGTTTAATTAATAAATAATTTATTCATTAAATTTGTCAGGGAAATTCATTTCCAAACTGAACAAGAAATATACTTTAAATATGTACGTACAGGGTGAGGTAAAAAAACTAAATTTTTACAATTTTAGAATAAGTTTAGATTTGTTCGAATTGGTCACCTTTGGCACGAATTATGGCCTTCAAAAGGCCAATTATACCGTCACACGCTGCCCGAATGTTGCTCGCGTGCTGAGTGCGATGGTGCTGAGTCCTGTTGGAATGTCCAAGGTCTGTGGCCAAAACGATTGCGTGCCCAAGGCTTTTCGTCATTTATTCTGATGCCAACCACGGTCGATTAATACGGGCGGAGAGTGACGGCTACACCATCACCATGGCCGGGGCTTGAGTTCTGGTTGCCAACCGAAGGTGCACATTTTCAGCTGACCTAGTTAGTAAACACGATCATTTTGTTTATTTAAAAACTGCTGGACAACGAATGATTTCTCATCGGAAAAAAACCAAATTCGGCAGTTCACCACTTTCGGCCAAGCGAAGCAACTTTTTAGCTCTTTTGAGTCTACTTATTTTTCAGTTGAGGGTTAAGTTCTTGCACTTTTTGGAATTACAAAAAATGCTAATTTTTCAATATTTGCCGAATAGAATATTGCAATATGCTCAGCTCATGAGCCATTTTTCGGCCTCTGTGACGCGGGTTTCGATCAAGTCGCTTCTTTACTTTCCGAACCATTTCTACTGATGTTGCTGTTTTCTTCCTTCCACTTCCTTAACGTCGGGCTACGCCACCAGTATCAAGGTAACAAGCGATGGTACGAGACACAAAAAAATTACACACATTTTAATGCTGGACTGCTCTTACGATAGCCACTTGCGGTTTTCCTGCCAAATATAAAGAAAT